AACAAATCCATTGTTACCAAGTATTTTCCAACAAAAGAAACCAGCAGCAGCAAAGGTCACATAATAATTGCAGAGAAAACATATTTGTCAATAACATATTTGTCATATTTGTCAATAATAATTGATAATAATAACAATAATTATGGCCTTGTTCCATTTAGGTGGTCAGGCTGGCTCAAGGTAATGGCTGTGACACGTGACCTTAATTAATTGTTTTAATTATAACTATATGTTTATCTTGCTATGATACAGGTCTTATGAGTGCACATCATCCAGGGTCAGAATATTCCAGCAAGTGCAACAAATACCATACTATTTTTATCTATTATTATTAACTGTAGTTAATGTAGGATTTGGAGAAAAGTTTAATAATTCGATTTTTTTTCAAACAGTCTTTTTTCTCCCATGCTCTTTTTATTTTGAGACAAACAAATAAAATAAAACATACAATCAACAAAGATTATGTTTGTATCAGCACACACACATATATCCTTAACAAAAAAAGATAAGTCAGCCCTGGCTTTAATTCTATATGGTAAAACAACACGCATGTCAATGTCATAAACCTGTAGTTGTATCGGTTGCTTCTCAGCATGACGATAGTGACGCAGTTGGAGGCCTTATGAAACCAGTGTGGACCAGTACACAGCTCTTAGGAACAAAGGACGTCAGTCTCAGGGAAGAAGTATATTTAGGCGCTAAATGAAGCCTTATATATGACGATGAGGAATGATTAAAAGTGTGGTATATTTCTCAGAGGAGAGGAACACTTTCCTACACGATGACGACAAGCATTCCTTACACTGATTGGCGATGGATTCGAGCTCCTCTGAGGTCGTTTAGATCTCCTGCCTGATCTCGGCAGGTGAGCCTCGTCAGGTCATAACGAGCTCGGCCAACCGCGAGGGCCAGCTGGGTGCTAACGAGCCGTGGACCAAGTAGAAGCATTCGTCCTCACTTTGTCACCGTTGTGTTTCGGAGGCCGTACCAGCAGAGGCCACTCAAGGTTTCTGGTTATTGTCCACAAAATGTATCCAAATTACTCCCTGAAATCCAAACACCTGCTTTGCCGGCGACATTGATTTGGACTTATCCGCTAAGCCGCCGTATACCTGCTGTAGTCAACACTTTACCCTTCAGTGTATTCATGAGCAGGAGATCGGCTTTGACGCTCGTCCCCCGGCAGCGGGATGCTCGCCAAACTTCTCCTCTCCTCCTGCAGAAAACGTTTCTCCCAACCGATGGAACGCTCGTCAAGAAACAATAAATAATGAGAAGAAGAAGATAAACTGGCGTTCTGTGGGCTGGCTATGCAGAAATGTGCTGGGAGCAGAGGATTGTGGGTAGGCTTGATGCTGGCTGGCTCTGTCGGCCATTAGAGCGAGCAAAACCAGACGTCAGCTGAATAAAAACAGGGCAAAAATGATGGTTTTCAGACTACAACGCACTTCAGGTGTGTGTTTGTGTGGCATGTGTGTTCCAAACATTGTACGAAAAGGTTTATTTGCTTTTAAAATTTGCAAATAGACGAGCAAATAGACGAGCAGAGCAACAATTTGTTGGAAAAGACAGCGCAGGAGGAGGAGGAGTAAGAGGAGTGGAAGGCAAACGGAGATGCTCATTAGCAGAGAATCGGTTGGTTTTAAAGACGGCATCATTAGGGCCAGGAGGGATCAGACATCACTGTACGCCACAGTTTATCCTCCAACACACCGTGTTTGTGTGAGTGTGTGAGGGAATGTTTCAGTGCAGAGGATGAAAGAGTTCAAGGATAAAAAAAATATATTTTGGGCTCCCTCCCTTGCTTTTTCCCTCTCTTTCTGCCTCTCCCTCCCTCCCTCGCCGCCTGTCACTTATTCCTTTTATCCCCCTTGTCTCCATTCTAAGCTCCCGCCGCCCGCTCGTGCCCTCCTTTGCGTAGAAAGCAACGAGCTCCCCAAAAGAAATTGCCAGTCAAAGGAGACATTTTTTTTGCTGAACGCTTGGCCACGGAGTTCAAAATCAAACTGCCCAAAAATTCAAATGGAGGTCCAATTGCATCGTTACATCGTTCTCCGCGTGCACAGATTTTTTTACTTTTCTCTTAAACTCGTTCCCAACATCTGCGTCAAAGCCATTTTAAAGGGCTTTGAGGATGATTTAAAATGATATGACTTCTTTTATTGTTGAGGGAACAGATTGCATTGTTATGTAATGCGTAACTTTGGAGCACGCTGGTTAATTTGATCATTTCGGGCTGCATGTGCTGAGTGATTTTCACATGACTCTGCGTCCACGCGCTGTTAGCACTCCTCCCGCTCAGTAATCTACGCAGGAAAGCAGACTTGTAGCCGAGCCCCTGAAAGCAGTGGTACGCCTTCAAGCGGGCCTCGAACACAAGGCTGGATGGAACCTGACAATCCCAGCGGAGCGACATGCTGTCGGCCCAGAGAACCAACACTCACGCGGCACGGATGGTTCTGTAACACAGGATTTTCTGGGATGGTCGGCTCCCTGCTGCACACCTCTTGGTTTTTCCTTTTTCTGTGTAAATTCACCCTCCACACAGAGCAAACCGCTAACTGCACCAAGGCTGCGACGTAGTTCAGCTTCGAACTGCAGCGAACTGGGAGAGGGAGGGCAAAGGAGAGGGTGGGGAGGGAATTGGAATGGCTTTCGCATTTTTTCCTCTTTTGTAAGTTAAATTGATCCGTCTCTCTTTGGGTTTCTCTTTGCTCCCTTTATTTCTCCCTGAGTGGAAAAACTGAAAAAGAAAAATTCAACCCTCCTTTCCTTCGGTTTGTTGAATCAATCACCCACTCGTTCCTCTCCCTCTCTCTCCTCGTCCCTTTCATTTCATCTTTTCTTTATCAAGGCCAAGTCTTTTTTTTCATCCCTTCATCCCTCCCTCCCGTTTTCTGCAGCCCACGCTTTCATCTCATCTGCCGATGTGGGTATTCTTGTTCAGACGGACAGCAGCGGCGGTTCGTGGCCCTCATACGGCACTCGTACATTTCTTTGGTATTGCAGCTAATGTGCAACAGAAGTGGAGAGCATCTCCTGCAGGTGTCCCCATTTAGGAACAAGCACTTTGCAGAAAACAATTCCTGTTGCTATAAAAGTGAATACGAGCAAAGTAAAAGAAGTTGAGCGGACATTGTTGAGTCTCACTTGCCTTACTTTTGCTTCCATTGTGGATCGGCGCTGCGGTGGAGCGGTGATGCGTCATCGGAGCCTATAGGTTCACATAGACCTCCGACCAGATCTATGGGCATCAGAAAATGATAGACGTTAAGATTCATCTTCACTTTTTCTGTCAGCATTTTATCACAACCCCGTGTTTGCTTTGGTAATCAACAGTTCACCGCTTACTTCCATTCAAAATGATGTCAGTGCATATTGGAGGGTGTGATGCAATGCAGGGAAAAGTGGGCCATGAGAACAATATTTAAATACATTTTGGAAAATGAAGGGTGTATGTGTTCATATTTTTGACTCAAATTATTTAGAGCTGGGGAAATTGAACTTTTGGATGCAATTTATTAGGGTTAGGGTATTTTTTACTATTTCCTGACATTTATGCAAACATTAAATATATCAATTAATGTCAACATATTAATCAAAGATTGAAAAAAAACATTTGCATGAATGGGTGGAAACCTATTTTTAGTCAGTAGCCAGCCAAATATTACATCAATGTTCCAAAAACAACAAATAATTCCGTTCATAGACCAAATGTTTGGCCGTATATATGGTTTTATTTATAATGCACAATAGTGTAAAAACAATAATACATCATTTGTACAATTATGTGAAACAAAATGTACTGTGCAGTGTGTGTGTGTGTGTGTCATTGCCTCACTCCCTTCCACTACCCTTTGAATGCTGGAGCTGTGTTTCCATGGTAACGCTGACCCTCGGGAGTCAGTGTTTTTTTCTTCTTCACACAAGTAGCCTCTTTAGAATTCCTCCCTCCCCTTCTCTCTCTCTTTCTCTCTCTCATCCATCCTTCCCTCCCACTCTATGCACCTCTCTGTACCTCTTCATCACCTGCTCTCTCAACAACATGCTTCATCTCTTTCCCTCCATTATGTACCGAAGATATTAGTTGTTCAGGTGATAGAAAACATTGCGCAATCCATAATGTTGTCCAACTCAGATCTTCCTCCATCGGGACATCGTCACACCGCTAACACAGACACAAACACGCTCGCACAAACACACACAAACTCTCTGTATTTAAACATGGTTGAGTTTCTCCTACCCTCTTGTGTCTTTTCTTTCGCTCTTTTCTGTCTTTTTTGTCCTTCTGGAGGACAGCTCTTGAAAAGCAGTTCCTTTTAGCGCTGACCTTGCCTTTAATGTCGGCTCTCAGGCGTAATGTCTTGGGCACCATTTCCCCGTGTTCTGCACGACAACAGGGAGAATTCTCATGACACAATCCTTGTGTATTTCTACTATTCCTCAATGGAATTTTAGAGGGGTTGCATCATGTTTAACGGGAAACATCAAGTGTGTGAAAAGATTTTTTAAATGCGCGATAATTCCTGGATATGCCCATGAAATCATGTAATCATGAACGAGAAGATGTAAAGAGAGATGTAAAGACTAGCTGGTCTTTCAGTCAGTGGACTGCTGTTCACTCGCCATGTAAAACGAGAAGATGTAGTGATTTTAACACAAACAAACAACTTCTTGGAAACATTATTACGTAAAATTTTGGGCATAATCCAAAGCTAACTTAATTTTCTCTGAAATTTTGACTAAAAGGTTTTGTTTTCTAACTGTGGACAAGTATTTTACAATCTTTTCCTTGAATTTAATGAAGTAGTCCACTGATAGTAATAGAGTTGTTTGCTGTGACACTTATTTTTAAAAGAACGTATCTTTTGAGCATCGTCACATACTTTAATTCAGGCTTTTATTTTGAACCAATGCTGGATTATAATTAAACATATGTTAGAAAGCAATAATCAATTTTTTTTTCATTCTCTTTTTCTCCGACCTCCCTGTCCCACCAGGCCAAGCTGATCGTCCCCAACAGCACGGCAGGCCTGATCATCGGCAAAGGCGGTGCAACAGTCAAGGCGGTGATGGAGCAGTCCGGGGCGTGGGTCCAGCTATCCCAAAAGCCAGAGGGCATTAACCTGCAAGAGCGTGTGGTCACCATCAGCGGGGAGCCCGAGCAGAACCGCAAAGCCGTGGAGATCATTGTCCAGAAGATTCAGGAGGACCCGCAGAGCTCCTCCTGCCTCAACATCTCCTACTCCAACATCACAGGGCCCGTGGCCAACTCCAACCCCACCCGGATCCCCATATGCCAACTCGACCGAGGTCATGCCATCCGCGGCGGCCGCCGCGGCAGCGACAGCCTCCTCCCTGCTCGGCCAGGCCAGCCTGGCCGGGGTGGGGGCCTTCCCAACCACCATGTCCAGCTTCTCAGGCAACGACCTTCTGACCATAACCTCCGCCCTCAACACCCTGGCCAGCTACGGCTACAACACCAACTCCCTCGGCCTCGGGCTGAATCCCGCTGCAGCCTCGGGGGTGCTAGCAGCGGTAGCGGCTAATGCTAATCCCGCAGCGGCCGCCGCGGCTAACTTGTTAGCATCCTATGCCAGCGACGCATCCGGTAGCGGAGGTCACCCGGTGCCCGGTCTCGGAGGCTTCACCCTTGGATCCCTGGCCGCAGCAACGGGGGCCACCAACGGCTACTTAAGCGCTGCGTCGCCCCTGGTGGCGCAATCTCTCCTGGCCACAGAGAAGCTGGGAGAAGGAGCGAAGGAAGTGGTCGAGATCGCTGTGCCGGAAAACCTGGTTGGAGCCATCTTGGGGAAAGGAGGAAAGACGTTAGTGGAGTACCAGGAGCTGACCGGCGCCAGAATCCAGATCTCCAAGAAAGGCGAGTTCATCCCGGGAACTCGGAACAGGAAGGTGACCATCACGGGTTCCCAGGCCGCCACGCAGGCCGCACAGTACCTGATAAGCCAGCGAATCACCTACGAGCAGGGGGTACGTGCCACCAACCCACAGAAGGTGGGCTAAACCCGACAGCCAATGAGAAACGAGGAGGAAAAGAGGAGAGAAAAAAAAGAGTGGGGGCTTGGGGGAGGAGTGTAAAAAGAAGTGAGAGGGAGAACGGAAAAAGGAGAGGAGAGCAAGAATGTCAGAAGGAATCGTCCGCGCTGTTTTCTTCTGCGTGTTTTCAGTATTCTCTATTAAAAAAATAATTTTTGACGCAAAGCAAAAATGTGCTGAGAAGACGAGGAGGGAGAGGAGCGAGTTATCACGCTGAAAAACCAAGAAAAAAATTGTGTAACGTGTAAATATGGTTTTATTACTTAACGTCTTGACCTTTCAGGATTTTTTATTGTTTTGTTTCATGGTTTTATTGTTTGGATTAGTAAATTAAGCTGTCTGTTCGTTCGTTTGTGTATTGTGTGGACAAAGTTGAATGCCATGTAGACAGGCCGACAGCCTGAGAGGCTACAAGAAGCGGGGGGAGGGAGGGAAGGGTGTCAGGGGGGGGGTTCGCATTTACAGGGTACAACCCTCCTCCCCCGCACGCCCAACCCTAAATCCCTTATGGAAACAACCTTAACCCCTCCCTCCCCCTGCGGCCCACACCCCTCCCCCTTCCGTCCGGTTTTTGTTCCTCTTCTAGTTTTTATTTGCCCCTTACCCGCCCCCCTCCCAAAGCATCTCACACTACTGGCCCACCGGTCCTGACCTCTCTTTTTCTCCCACGAACCCCCCCTCACCCCGCCCCGCTCCCCTTTTACAAGGGTTCGATAATGAGCAAGACTGCAAACTTAAGCCTGGTGGGCGGGGGAAGAAACTTCCTCAAATCCGACCCCTCTTAAACAGCTCCCCCGTCTATGATCTCACCTCCTCCACCCTCCCCTCAGAAGGAAGTGGGGGAGTGAAATCGGGGAAGGGTGTGTGACAAGAGGGGCAGCTGGCCGTTTCTTCATTGGCACACCACCCCCTGTGCCCTTTGTGAATGTATCCCACAAGCGGTGCCGGGCGTTGGGGGCCTCATACAGGGGGTAGCCCCCCCCCCCCCCCCCCTACACACACACACACACACACACACACACACACACAAACACACACCTTACACAGCCCTAGTGGTTTAGATAGAATGCCGAGGCGCACGCTGATGACCTCACGTAGTGCGAAACCGACGAGAGTGATACTGTGCAAGCAGCGGCAATCACACGGGATCCACGGCATTACTTTGCAGTCCGCCGTGATAATTATGTTAACGAGATTGTCATGATTTATTGGGAATCATCGCCATTGTCATTATTTATTAATGAGATCACCTTTTTAAAAAACGCTAAGTTGTTGTTTTTCTTTCTTTTTCTTTTTTATTATCTGTGAATTCAGGTTGACATGAATGTAAATGAGACTATTTTTGATTTGAATATTTTTTTTAATTTAAGTGGATTGAAGATGAATAGTAATGTTACATAGTGTAATATATGTCTTATTTAAGTCCAGTAAGCCACCCCAGGCTCTAATATCATTACAGTAAAGGATTTCCAGTCAAAGAGCAGAACAGGGAACCCACAAACACACACTTAAGCAAAACACTATGATGCCATATTTAGTGCTAAAAAAGGGAATTTGCGATATATTATGAAGTACAACCTTTAGATTAGGAAAAGGCCGTAAACTGATTACACCACAAGCTGCAGTGCAGCGTCTACATTCACGGCTTTATTAACCCTAAAACATCTGGGTCATCTGACTTAGCTCCCGTCCCTGTAAGCAAACTGTCCTGTTACAGTTTAGTTTCTAATGTTACAGAAACCTGTAGTGCTCCCCAAAACCATTTAGATGAGCCCAAAACCACAGACTGAAAGCAAGACCACTTACGACTCAAAATGTACTTATACTACTGAAAATAAATGCAAACATTGAGAAGGAAACACTGAAACGCGACGTTGTTTGTGCGTGGCCCACTGCTCCGATCTGCAGGCCTCGCGAGTAGATTTGCTATTTTAGGACTGCATAAATATCAGTAAAGGACATAAACAGCCTCACTGATCTTTTCCAATATCAAACAACCGTCCAACTGCCGATGAGGTGAAGGGCAGACAGTGAGATTTCCAACACACATCCAGGGAGTTGAGCTCTTTTCCACCTCTGGCAAACAGCAGGCCACCCACGGCAACAGGTGCACTGCCCACTGTAGACCCAGGAGGCTGCTGAAGATGCTGTCTGTTTTTTGATTGTTTTAATCTTTCTTTTTTTTTTTCGTTCCGTGTGATTATTTGATTTTTTACAATCGGAGTACACTGAATTTTTGTCTTAATGCACTGTGAAGCGAGGGAGCGGTTCTCTCTGCCCACGAGGTCAGGGATGTGTGCTGTAGACGGCATCGCGGTCGGGTGTTTTTTTTGTGTGTTATCGGGCGAGGAGAAACTAAACACATATATGTAATATATGTAGAATGCATATGAAGAACTTCACCAGAAATGTGCGTCATATCTGAATACTAAAAGAGAATAGGCCGATGAAGAGGATATCAATCAATTGATCCGACGAGTCGAGATCTATCAGATTTCACTCATACCCGTAATCGGAGGGCAGGATGTTGGGGGAAATGCTAGGAGTCCAGCAGCAGATTAAAGAGACTGGAACATACTGGAATATGAAATTCACTTTTCTATCTCAGCTGTGTCATTTCATAAACGATTGGAATTGCATTGTACATCCCAACGGGCAAATCTGTGAATCTCTATTTAAGTCCAACCGGAGTTGAAGTGTGATGGAATGTAAAAATGAGAGTAATGAGGAGGGGGAGCATTTGAACGATTGATCTAAACAGGCTGGTGACGGGAGGGAGCTCCTCTTAAGATAAAGAGAAAAAAAAAAAAAATCCGACCCAAAGTCCTCCACTGTGCTATCGAATGTGTCACCCTCTGTTGGAGCGCCAGCGAGGGTTTATCTCCACAGCTTGGTAAGGAGGCTTCTTTACTCCCATCTAACACCATCCACACTCTCCTCACCCCCCTCCCCCTTCTACCTCCTCACACCCGCCCCACTAGTCCTCCAGCGCACCACCATCCCGACATCTCCCTCTACCTCCTACCACATCGCTCCATGGGTGACTGTCCGGTGTGACGATCAAATGCATGTCTGCTGCTTGCCCTGACGAGTCAAAAGAAAGATTGAGCGGATCGAGTTTGTCTCGTGTTGGCCTCCTCGGGGGGGGGGGCCAACCACACCCTGCGGGAGAAGGCGTAGTCGAGGCCGGCAGGGCACGTTGCACAAACGCTGCGATCCGTAGTTTGGATCAGCGCATGAAGGAATACCTTTGCACACATAAAAACATACACATATCGTGATCAGCGGGGTTTGACTGGATTTCTGTTTGATGTTTTGTAGACCGCGGGGAGATGGCGGCTATGGTAGATTTAGCGTGCTTTTGTTCCACTGTAGAACTGCACTGTGCTGGAAGCAGTTTGTTTGGTGCGTGCTGGACTTGATTTATCACCATGCATATACTGTACTTTTAAGGATTACCTGCTTTTATCAGTCTATTTTCATTGTAAATTGAATATTAATGGGTTTGGGTATGCTCGGACAAAACAAGGAAATTGCACTGTTCTGAGAAACTGTGATATTTCAACATTTTCTGACATTTAATAGACCAGCTAAATTTAGATTTTGAGGATTACGGCTAAATCAAAGATGATTCCGTCATTCCAACATTGTGACCATAGCATGGAAGTCCGTCTGATACCGCACAGTGCATTCGCAGTAGATAAACTGCATTTGAATTTCTGATGTAGGTGTCACTTGTGTTGATTAGTACTGGATTTTTCTTCTACATCTCATCAATTAATCCTTAAAATGATAATCTTTCCGTTTTGTCTTTTAAACATAGGTGAAGCTCTTTAGTCGTCTCGGTGTTAGGGGACGGAGATCAAATGTGATTTAGTACTGGAAGCAATACGCTAGTTGTCCTGTCCTTTATCTTTTCTCTACCGTTGGAGCTTTGGCTTGAGACGTAGACTAAGTTAACATTTTCATTTTTTTCAAATTTGTGGAGAAATGCTGCTATTTAATAATTACTGATGTACTAAACATACTAGGTTAAAACATATCGAAATCTGTCCGTCAGCTGGAGAGGCTAGTCTCAAACGGCAGTATAATACAAGCTCTGTTGTAAGATGGCGATAAGTTAATAATAGTGTAATTCTAACATGAACAAGTTAAACCTGTGCCAAACTAGATCTTTAAAGAGTGTAAATGTGTTGATTTAAACCACATTAGATTAGAGGAGACATACTTTTATATTAAGAAAATGTGAAAAGTGCCAAATGAACCATATTTATGATTTACTCGTGCAGGGAGTCGTCCGTGTGACAGTTTTTAAGAGTCAGTATAGGAGTTTGAATAAGCCCTCTCAGTTCCTGCCACATGTTGAGGGACCGCCATGTTAGCAATGGGTTCATCCGGGAAAAGCACCGCCACCCTGGGGCTCGACAAATCAACATAGGGATAGGTTAGCATAATTATGCTGAAAATAATGTGACTTGATAGCATTCGTAAATACAGCCTTTTATAGTTACGAACAAAATGTATTTTGTGGAAATAGATGTTATCTTTTTTGCACGTCTATATTGCATGATATCAAAGTGAAACGTGGACAAAAAATGGAGGAAAAAAAACAAAGAAACAAAAAATAGAAGCAACAAAAATAAATAATAATTAGGCAATGTGTTTGTTGACAGTTCTTTGCATGCCGATGAGGGTAGAGCATTTTGATATTGTTTACAACGTTCAAATGTTGGTTGTTTGAATTCCGATCCAGCGACCCGAGGAAAAGAAAACGTTTGACCGTGACGTTTGCGACAGAATGAGTAGTTTGTCGTTGTCCGGCTACCCTCGACGGATACGGATAAAAACTATCGAACAAGCCTAAGACTATTTTGCTACTTGCTACTAAAAAAAAATTAATTTTGAAGTGAGACTCAGATTGTCCATGAATGTACTCCCCTCTGCATAAGTTTGGATATCACTCCACTGACCATTGAGGTGCAGTAGAGGCTTACGTGTGTTCTCGTTTGTGTATTTCTGTGTATAACATTACTAACCCTGGACGCATTGCGCCAAGCTCTCAGTATGTTCTCTGTCCTTTTTTAACCCCCTCCCCCCAATCTCTCCTCCTCCAACACCTCACCGCCCAAATCTCTGAGCTCTGGCTTGTCTTGGCATTGACATGCACCTTATTGACCTCAAATATGACATGGTATCTGCAGCCGCCCAGTGTGTGTTTCAATGGGAGAGATTCGTATAAAAAGAGTGTGTGCGACAGAAAAGGGGGGGGGGCGGAAAGTCCCCTCGCTCACCTCTGAATCCACCCCTCTGCTGCAGAACCCTGAGAGAACATTAACACTGCGTTTTCT